CTCGCTCGGCGCTAGCCTCGGCTCCCAAAATCTGCTCGTGTGTTTTGTTCGCGACCATGTTGCCATATGGGGCAAACTGGACTTACGGAAAAAAGCGTTTACGTTGAAGACACAGGAAAGTATAGTCGACTAAAGTGGTCCCTGGTTGCAGTTAGCTAACTTAATGGCGTCCCATCCCTGCCGGTTAATAGGCCTGCAACAGTGGCGATTATTGAAAGTTGGCAATATTGATCTTTCTTTATGCAAAGGGATGTTGAAACATCGATTCTAGGTAAGACAGCCTGTTTCACTTAGAATCGATATATTCGGTGGATTTAAATCTTAACAGTGTTGTCAACTTGTGAGAATCGCGACTGGCCTGCACCATACCGTGTTTTGCGTCTTGGCCCTGAACCGGCAGATGGAGGACGTAGAAAAGCTAGGTAATAACGCAAACTGACCCTCCCGTCTTGTGTGTCAGATGAGATTTCGATTTTTTCCCACACTTAAGTTTGCAAAATGGAGCCACTAGGTCTGACATTTTAAAAACAATGTTAATGCTGTTCGTTTCCTATTAGGTAGGTGCTTCTGTATAGGTGAGCCAGACATAGTGGCTTTTCATGAGGCTCTATAAGAACGATGTAAACAAACTCGATCGAGAAGAATTTGTATCTTGGGAGAAGGGGGGGGGGGGAGTGATAGGTCACAGAAGAAGCATAATTCTTGTCAAAAATATCCATCAAGGCTTGTTCATGACTTAATCTAGAAAATGGAAATTGAAAAACCCTTGTCACATATAAAACTCTCATTTTGTTTCTTGACCCTGATCCACAGCTAGGGTTAGAGGGACTATCACGAATGGACTAGACACGCTGATCAATCAAGAGCCGCGCTTTCTTCTGTAAAAACATTTCGGAGACGGCAACACTGTCCATGTATACGTATTTCAGGAAAAATTCTCTATTTATGAGCATCGGAACGTTATCAAATTGTTTATGATAAAACGCAAATTTCTGGAAAACCAGTGAATTTTCTCTTTGAAATTTCTTTTCAAAAGTTATGATCGCAATTTAATACGTCTTATCTGCAAGTTCAAAGGCAAGTAATGGGTACTCGTTCTCCAGAAAAAAAAATCAAATAAAGAGAAAGAAAGAAAAAAAATACGCACCTATATGCAAACTTGTGGCGACTGTTAAATTCGCAAACTGGATTTCTCTCTGGCTAACCATCTACATAAAAAAGAAGGAAAGACGGGTAGAAAAAAATTATTATCAGGGATGAATTGAGTGCCTGTCGAGGAAGAGTCAAGAGATACAGAATCAATTTCTGGTGAGTTTTCCGCGTCTTTCCTCTTCTCTGTTGGCTTCTATGTGTCAAAGTTGATGATGAAGATTACGAGTATTCAAGGGGATAACAGACCAGGTAAATGAAAGCGCAGAAAAAAAGAACCCGATTTAGAAAGAGGTCTGCATCTTGGAATAAGGAAACGAGATGGTCAAATATTCCTGAAAACTTTGAGAGTAATATGATATCAACCTTAGCTCCTGATATCAAGATGAGCAATACCTATGATCTTCCTTGAAAAGGGCTCCATGGACGGACAGATCGAGCGGCTACATCATTCGATTCATTGATGATTTGACTGCGAAGCATCGATTGACTTAGCCACTAAAGATGTTCATTGGTGAAACGAACGAGACGTTGAGCCTCAAGTCTGTTCAGCGAGCGTTCAAATAAAGAACGCCTTCATTTTGCGCTGATACCAAACCACGACCAAAATGTTCTGAAACTTACGACTCGCGGTCTTATATTGCGTTCCCTGCTCTAAAATTGCAAGATTTCGCTTTAAATCTTTGCACATGCACTTTGCACTTTGAGGATTTACTTTGAAAATGTTCGATTATCTTGTTGTATACATGATGTAAATAAATCTTTGGGATTTTTCGATGGACAAAACGAAAATTTAATGAGAAAAAAACTTAAATGAATATATAAACAAACTAGAACCATTTAACTTCAGTTTCACATGTAATAAATATTGAGGAACAACAATTGAACAAAATTTGAGGAACAACAAAAGTACCTGAGAAAAGTTTGAGTAGATAAAGTTTACGCGGCTACGTAATTAAAAAATTAAAAATTAAGTGAGGCACAGGTGAACACATATTATTATTAGGTAAGGCTTCGCAATAACATTCATACACGTATTTAAAAGGCTAACAGTCCTTGAAACTCTTGAACTACAAAAAATTATCCTAAGTTCATAAGAATAAATGTATACACAGTTTAAACTTTCAACAAATGCATTAGTTTCAAAGACCAGCTGAGTATTAACTCTTCAGTTGAGATGAAAGGCTCGGATGAAAGAAGTTAGTATGAATGAACTTAAATTAACTATTATACCAGAATGAAGGACAAAATAGTTGAAAAAAGTCGGTATTAATGCACTTCAACTGACATACCAGAATGAAGAATCAACCAAGTACATATCAAATCATGGCGCAAAAAAAGGATAGTAGTGATCAAATAATGTTTTAAATTTAGCGGCTACAAAAACTATGTACGAATAATATCTTGAAAAAAAAGAAAGAAACAGTAAATAAAACTAATATGACATTTTGACATTAAAAGTGCAGTACGAATAAAATCTCTTGGAATCGAGTGCATTTACAAATTCGGTTCGACTTCAATGAAAAATTAAGTTAGTAAGAAACCAATCAAATGGGAGGCAAGTTTTTTCATCGTTTTAAGTTTTTGAATGGAGTGAAAAATTTATGACAAGCGAAATTAAGAAATAATATTGATAATAAAGTCAATTTATCAGTGTGTGCATTTTTGGGTGGAAGGAGTGAGTACCAGGAGATTGACATCTATTGACACGTAGACTTGTCTTCGTGTGCTAGAAGGTAAAGAACGAGTGAGGTAATATCAAGGTACTTAAGTTATGTCTAGCATTGTAATGAATATTACAATATGGCTACCCAATTTTTTGAGTTTACACTCACCAAATCATTATTTACTTTTGCTTTCAGCATGATTCCTGCCATTCATTGATGACACAAAATAAAAACATTTTTAAAATCGAGAGTTAAAACCAAAATACTTCTTCTTTGCGCATACGTTTTTTGAGAAGGGAGAAGTTATCTTGATGTGGTTCAAAATTGGACATACTATTCAGTACAACTTTAAAAAAGTTTGAAAAGTTGAAAAGTTTCGCACGAAAAAAAGTACATAAAAATTAGAGAAGAAAATGACTACGTATACATACTCTGACCTAGAAACGCTGTAATTATTATTATGGGTAGACAAAACCTTATATTAAAAAAAAAATAATGAAGAAAAATAGATGTCACTTCATTTGAAAGATGAAAATATTTTGAAAATCTATTCAGGCCACTTTAGAGCTGACCTTTAGGATTATATATAAAAAGGAAAAGATGGAAGGGGGACAGAAAAAACGCGGGGGGGGGGGAGTATCATAAAAATGAAAACAGCAAAGTTAAAAATCCCACAGTCCGATACATAGAAGAAAACATGGATTATTGATCCTCCTTTCACCATCCTAAATGAATATTTATGGTCTGCTATATTCAGCTACTGTACGGGGGAGTTTAAACTGATTCGTTGAGCGTTGTACTTGCGCATAGGTCGTATTTTGACGTACTTAAAACTACTTAGGGGTTGAAATCCATTCTTGAATTATTATCTTGAAAGTGACTACAGGAGCAAATGTCAGTATCAATAACAAAATCTCATTAACTACAGCCTGAAACAGGCATAATAAATTCACAAACATATGAGGGAACAAGAACAAAAACAGAAACAAAAAACAAAGAACAAGAAGGATCAATGATTGAAATATAAGTAAGATTAAGAGATAAAGTATAATGGAGAATTCTTAAAATTCAAAACCATAACATGAAAAACATCACATTTTCAAAAATGTTAGTAAAAAGGTGGAAAAACTAAGAAAATAAAAATTGACATTAAACTACATTTCATTGAAAAATTTGTACTTTTGGCTCTAGGAATTTAAAAATTCCTAATCGTGTGAACTAAAAAATTTTCAACCTAAACATACTGAGTTTCTTTCCTAATTTAAAGGCAGCGGTTACAGGCTTTATGTAAAATGTGGATTTATTGAATGTGATTCATTTAACTACTGCCTTCATTTCATGCTCTGCTAACAAAAGGGCTTACAGCTCAATTTTTACAGGAGCCCTGCGAGGTATTGAGTATTCCAAATAACAGAGCTCATCTCATAGCGTGCACTGTTTTTAAAGAAAAAAAAAAAAAACTTCTCCTCCACGTTATATGAGAAGTTGAACTTAAAAACAAGTTTCTTCCATAGGTAGGTGGGTATTGCCAAAAGAGACTTGTAGTCGAGTTCAACCATGTATATTAACGTCATAGAAGCTTATTCGATATTTCATTTTTAAAATTCATCGTATGGTGACATCCTTTTGTCAGCAGAGCAATGTAGTTATGGAACAGCGCATACCCTTCATTACAGATGAAACTTTTCTTAACACCAACACAACATGATTTTTAAGGCAAATTAGGAATTCAGCTAATTTTAAGTTTGAGGGAACTTACACAGGAATATAATGAGTGACTAAACTCTTCGATATAAATTACGCTTCAATTTGAATGAGAGTATTGAAGCTCGATACATTAAAAAGATGTGTCTCCTATATGTGAACTACCTTAAACTCTTCCATTCACTAAAAAAAAAATTCTTGAGATATTATTTTGATTTCAAGGGTCTTTCCTTGTCGACAAATTTTGGGATTCTTTTTCTTTTAGTCTGATCCGCGCGGATTTAACTTAAAGTAAGTTTTTTTTTTAGTTGAAGAGACGTTAATTTGGTATCATTTTTTCGACTTAGACTTAGCAATAACAAAACGACGTTTTATCACTAAAAAAACAGAAGTTGAGTTGAATCTGCACGGATTAACTTAAAAAAAAAAAAAAAAAAAAAAAAAAAAAAAAAAAAAAAAAAAAAAAAAAAAAAACTGTCGACAAGAAACGACGTTTTAAGCAACTAATGTTCGGTCACATAAATTTACGGTTCGAAGCTGCGAGCCGAACGGTTCAGGCGATACTGAGCACTGGACATTCGGTTCACATATGATGGTATGGTTTCCAACAGTTAAAGGTCGGCGTTTCGGTGTTTCCTCGCCACGTGACTCTCGAGGCTCCCTTCGGTCCAGAAGACTTTCCAGCAAAGTTCGCAAGAGAAGGTGCCGTCCGCACTTCGGCTCCGCTGTCGTTTGCAGGGTTTGGAACCACCGAGGACATTTTTGACAGACGATCCTCTACTTTTCGGACGGGTGACACTAACTCTCGGTTTGTCATTTAAAATTGGCTCAATCTCGAGGTCAGATTCGACTTCTTTTAATTCGTGCAGCCTGTAGCAAGAGGGAACCCGAGGTAATTTCTCCAAGTCGGAAGTTCCTTCCAACCGGACCAAAAAGTCTTCGAGCCTACGCGGAAGCTTCGTGTCGGTGGAAAAGAGCAAGAGCTTCTCTTCGTTGAGCATGTCCATCGAAAATTTATCGAAGATTCGAGTCTCGAAACCGCCGATTTTGATGATTTTTTGAAGGGGGAGTTGGAGAGTCTTCCTCCCGTTAACCGTTGCCAGCTCTTTTCTCTCTTTCGATTTGGGAGTCGGTGCAGGCTGTGAAGGAGCAGACAAATTGGGAGGATCGATTTTTCTGCCATTGAGGAGGCGGGACTTGACGACATCCTTGGTTGAGGTTGAAACTACTGTCATACACGGGTAAAAGAGACTTTTCACTCTAAAGGGGATAAAAAAATGAGGGGGATGAAATATGTATGAGGTAGGATGGTGGACGATATAGACTTAGAATAGATCGTATTCGATACATCAAACGGGTGAGATTGTATCGATACCGATTGGTTCAAAACATTAACACAGCCTCAAAAGTCAATTGAGTAATCTGATGGAACGGGTTTTTTGTGATAGAATTTTGATTCGTAAGAGTACGAATTATTGGCCAAGCGTGGCGAAATTGCTACGAAGTTTCTCTATTCCAGCTTTTCTGACAAATATCCTAAAATTTTGGTTTGAGGTTATGTTCTATTGTTTTGAACCAAACGATACATCGAACCACTATCAAATACGATCCATTAGAATCGATTAGATTTTGGTGGAAACGTTCGGAATTACGACATGCTTCATCTCGAATAGTTGGAGTAAGTTGGGGGACCCTCGGGTCAATGATTGAATCGTTATCGACATTGATCGATAAATAGCTGTCAAGACAGGGATATATCAATCAACGTCATTTGATGACGATTAAAAACAATCTGGGCGATCTCTGTTGATAATTTCTAGCATGGCTTATGGATTTTAGGACTTCCGCCATAAGCACACAACAAACATAGAAATAACTGAAACTAAATTTTCTCGAAAAAATATCTGGAAGTCCAGAAACCTAGAGTCACGCCAGAAATATTGACGAAAGATGCCATGGCTCTTGGGTTTTTGGACTCTTGCCCTTCTGTAATTAATGATTTGTTGCAACGTTTTGCTTAATATACTGTGTTAATGCCGATGCTTAGAATCAATACCTAACCAGGGCTCATATTTTTTTGGACTTCTACTTTTTCTACACGTCACATAATTATATTGATTGCAAAATTTAACAATAAAAAATGCATTTGTTGCATTTGCTCATACCTAAAAAAAAATATTTTCCTCGCAAATCAACAGGATGTAGATAGTCTTAACTCAAAATTTGTTTCTGAATGTAAAATGAATTATACGCTTTAGCGTTAATGTCTATAGGTCTAGATTCCATTCCTCAAGGATATTTAAAAAAATAATAATAATAATAATAATAAGCATTGATGTCCAATGTTCCTGGGAATTAATTAAGGGCCAAACGGTGTACCTCCGAATGTTTTCTTGTGATTTTGAAAGCTATGTTATAGACCAGCCCCACCGAGTGTGATCTTATGACAAATACACACACACGCAGGCGATGCACCAATATACCAAAATCACGGAGAAAAATATGGAAAAGGTCCTGAAAAAAAAGTCTCAGCGTAAGACGTTTTAACTTTTAGAAAGGTCATTTCTATTATGAAAAAATGAGAAAAATAGAGAAGCAAGTATAAGCAAATGAATGTCACTGTCCGCGGAAAGAGGGATCGTGGTCCATAAAAACTCAAAGTCGACCATAACTAAAATCAGAGCAAAGAGAAGTTTCAACAAATATTTTAGAGACTTAAACGCCACAACACTTCGCACATGCAGCACTCCTCGCCGCCATGCTAAGTAATAATTAGAGTCCCTTTATACTGAGAGTCAAGACAATTTGAATCCATTTCTGATTGGTTCCCGTATTTTAGGCCTCCACAGTGTCACAAACGGGAATAAAGATTACATTTTCACCAATTGCAAAGATTATAATCTGGAATGGACCAGGGAATGACGGGTTCGGCAAGGAACAAACGGAATGAGAGGAGGAACGGAGAAAGGCATTTGAGAATGGGCCGATCAAAGATTACGAAAAACGTTCAATTTCTGTAATCTTTATTCCCGTTTGTGACATCCATGAGCCGAATTGTCTTGACTCTCAGTATAAAGGGACTCTAGTAATAATGCCGTATGAACATCAAATTTCCTCTCAAAACACATTCGTTTTTTGAAGAAAGTAACGAAAATTTTTCCTTGAAATTATGATAATTTTCAGATCAAATTAGAAACTAAATCCTCTGAAAAATCTAAATTGAAATATTCGCAAATCCTAAAAATTTGTCGCAGGAAATTTGGCAACGCCTAATGACCAATACGGCGTTCTTCCTTATAGTACGGCAGAAAACTCTCTGGTATCGATAATTTGGTTTTGAGTTCTTTTGGAAAGGGATCATCCCTATATTACGTAACGCTTTAGGGGGGTTGAGGAGAGCGTTACGCCATTTAGTTTTTGCGTGTTAAAGCATTAGAGTCTACGTCCCAAAAGCGTCGCAAGGGGGGAGGAGGGGGGTTCTAAAATGCCAAAAACCTGCGTTACGTAATATAGGGACGGCCCCAAACCTATGCGAATTGGACTGTATTTTGCAATTTGGACGTATAAATTCTGGCTCATCTGGAAAAACTCTCATGTGCATAGGTAAACTAATGGCACATACGTTGTTTTTAAATCAGGCCAGAATTTATAGTTCCAAATTGCAAAATGCAGTTCAATTCAAGTTAACTCACCTCGTTTGAGGGCACGGGATAGGATCTCCTTGTCCAGCGAAGGTCTCTGGGTACGGACGAGGGAGCTGAATGCAATGTCCACTCTCGGCCACTCTCCCTTCTTCAGGAACCTCCGCACGACGCGGTTGATGTACCGGGGCAGAGGCAGTTCGGTGAGGTCCTGGCAGAAGCTGATCGTCCTCCTTCGTATTCACACACGTGAGCGCGTGCTCTCGAAGACATCTCGCCGAGGCGTCGAAACTCTGACCGCACCTGGCGCAGCCCACCCTCTCGTCCGAATGCCACTCTCTCAGATGCTCTTCGAGGTGAGCTTCCGTAGCAAACCCTTTCTTCGGCGCGCACATCCCGCACATAAACTTCACGGGTAGCGGTTTCCGGGAGTGCTCCTTCATGTGCCGGGCCAGGCTGAGGGTGTCCGCGAAGTCGGTACCGCAGATCCTGCAGTTCAGGAGGTTTTTCGCCCGCCTCTTGATCTTGATGCTGGCCGATGACAACGATTTCTTGACTGGTGGAACCAAGTCGCCTAAAGTGAGTTTAGAGCACCCCCTTCTAGGGGCTGGCTTGAAGAGGGCACGACGTGCGACCCTATTTCGCCTGCTAGGAAAATGGCTTCCCACATTTTTGGGTGGAGATAGTACGGTTGCGGGTACATTCGTGTCTTTGGGTTGTCTCGGCCAAGGAGGATTACGGAGGTCGATTAGAAAGTCCAATGGGCTTTTGCGGGCGTCCAAGTCGAGGTAGACTGGAGGACTCGGTTGGGTAGATAGACTGCGTTGATTCTGTTCGATGCATGGAGAGCTGGTTGGATTTAGTGGCTCGTGGAGATTTTGAAAATCGTTGTTGAGTTCGTTGTCCAAGAGGACGCCGCTCAGTGGTGGAGCGAATAACATGCACGCTTCGGTGCGATCGTCGTCTGCGTCGGATGCAGAGACGAGGAGGTTCAGAGTTGACTGCTCCATATTGCCCGGAGTGAGGGTGGGCGATGGAGAGCTGGTTGGATTTAGTGGCTCGTGGAGATTTTGAAAATCGTTGTTGAGTTCGTTGTCCAAGAGGACGCCGCTCCGTGGTGGAGCGAGTAACATGTACGCTTCGGTGAGATCGTTGTCAGTGTCGTATGCAGAGACGAGAAGGCTCAGAGATGACTCCTCCATGTTGCCTGGAGTGAGGGTGGGCGATGGATTTGTGACGGAAGCAGCAGATTCACGACTCTGCAGAAAAACAAACAAACCAAAAAATATTATGAATATTGCTTGTGAGCTCTTGTTTAGGATGAAATTATGGCGATTCCAATGGGACTACTTGGTGCAAAATCATCGGCGGATCCAGAAAATTGGCAACATTGTTTTTCTCCATTTAAACCCATGGAAAAGTATTGATTCTTGGAGGGGCCATGTGCTCCGACAAGAGTCGATTATTTAACATAGGTTTAAATTGTAGGAATCCAAATTGCTGGATCCGCCTCTATGCAAAATGAACTACTATTTCACAAAACTGATTGCGGTATACGCAAGGGTCGTTTAGACAGAAAGTTGACTTCATGCTGATTTTAACGCACATTAACTACACCACCGAATTTCTGTCTGAACTACTGTTTCTCGCTCATTTTGCAAAAAATGTAAATGCAATTGGATTGCATTTTGCAAAAAGGAAACACGAGCATTGCAATGTTGCTAAGATTGTGCAACTTCTTTTGTCTTGGATAACAAACCTGATTATCCATTGACAGTTTCTATTCTACTAACTGAAAACTATGAATCTGAGACGAAAATGATCATGTAAATTTCATATTTTTCCAAGATTTTAGTTATTTTACTGTACTTAAAGGATGAATTCGCACAATCTTAACATCACTGCAATGCTTCTGGTTCCTTTTTGCAAAATGCAATCCAATTAATTCCCATGCAGATGATTGCGTTCGTGGACATGCCACAAATAGGATTTCCTTGTTGCAAAACGTTGTCCTATTAAAATGATTGACATGGCGCAATGGTTTTACATGATCAAACGGAGAAAAGATTGATTGGATCGAGTTTAAAAGAAAGAAGCTAAACTCTCGTATGTCAGAATTGAAATAAAAACGTTCATGAGTTTTATTCTGTAAGGCTTAATGTTGTGGTTAAATGGAGATAGAGTTGAACTTCTACTTCACCCATCCAAAATGTTCAAGAGTAAAACATTCTTGGAAACCACGAAAAATGACATTTTACAGGGCGGATTTTCTAGTATGCTGCCGTGCTAAGCAAGAACGCCGTAAATCCATCAAGATTTTAAAGATCCCTCGTTTTTTGGAACTTCACTTTATACAATGAAAACCGTTTTGCCCACACACCTCAAATTTTCAGGTTAAGTTCTTGATAGTATTTGCAAAAGAATTCTGTAAAAATATTGTCCAAAGTTACACATGTTTTTCTGCTGTGATAAATTGTTTCCAAAAAATTTAAAATGGCGTTTACGGTGTTTTTGCGTTGCACGGCAGTAATGGAGTAGGGGAGAGGCGGGCAACGTGGAACGGGCGGGCAAAATGGAATTTGGCCTTTTAAAAAAATCTGTCAGTCCTAAGGCGACTCTGGTGGTTGAAATTGAAACTAGAGAGGGTACCCGTCTATTAGAAACTGTCTCTATGCAAAAAACAACAACATAACCGATAAAAAATGACGGCAATAGAAAACCGGTTCTTCGCAAATTTTTTTCGCGCCCATGAAAACTTATGGGGCCGTGGGCAAAGTGGAATGAGCGGGTAAAGTGGAATATGGTCAATTTAAAAAATGTATTCATCCTGTGGTGCTTGAAATCGAAACTAGAGAGAGTACTTATCCATTAGAAACTGTTTTTATGCAAAAAGAAAAACATAAGCAATAATGAATCACGAATGAAACTAGCCGGCCCTTGCCAGATTTGACCCGTGTTCGTGAGAGCTTGTTCGTATTTAGAAGTGTCAAATTAATAAATCCATGAATCTTACCTAATCAGTAATTGCTCTAGTTTCAATTTAAAAAACAAAATCTAACTGAATCGGCTTCTCCTTTTAATTATTAATAAAATTTCAAGGGGCGGTGTCTCAAATTCCACTTTGCCCGACTTAAGTCGGGCAAAGTGGAATTTGGCCTCTTTTTTTTGGTATCTAATTTTCTTGGCGCTTTTTGAAGACTTTTCCGGCTTCTTTTACCTTTTTTTTGATAAAAAAGCGATGAAACTTCAATTATAAATAAACAGAATGTTTTAGGTAGTTGAGACAAATTTTCTGTAGCGCGTTAAAAAAAATGTTCCACTTTGCCCGGTTCTCCCCTAAGGGAGTCTAGAACCCTTGAAATCCCCTCTCCGCGCCACTTCCTCTCTATCGTAACATGGTGCAGAGATTGCGCTCCCTGCTGGTAAAAGCTCTGCAGTAAAACCACCCGAGGAGGCGCTTTAATAAAATTATCGACTACGCAAGACGAGGAGGCTAATTAAAAGGCTGGCTCCGTTTTCTTGGGGCAAACAGTTAAACAAAGGCCCTCCCCACCCCCCTCTCTATGAGAATCGAGAGCGCGCTCTCGGAAGTGTCAACTCGTTTCAGTTCGTCTAATTCGCGCGCTCCAAACTGATAATACGATTATTGGCCCGTGTTTGCTTTGGTAAGGTCGATATCAAAGGGAAATTCTCCTCGGCGTCGTAATTAGTTTATTGTGCAAAAACAAAATAGCGTCTGCGGCGACAGAGTCATGCACGCTGGCAAATTGAGACGAGTTTGAAGACGTGCGCGAAAACGCGAGCTTCGGGGAGGAACCAGTGTGTCATGGCAGCATTGCATATGATTTGCAGTGGCACCCGCGAGCTGATTTTTGAAATTCATAGACAAAGTTATGGACTTAGAGGACAAAGTGAAAATACTGCGATCCTATTAGTGGAAGCGCGAGGGTTTGCAATAGACAGAGGAGGTAAGTGACAGATTCACTAACGGCAAAACCACGAGGGGCGGAGGGGAGAGCCCCACCCCCCTCACAATCACCCATTTAAACCGACAGGATCGCTTTATTTTCCCGTTGCCTTAGCTTTGTCTATCAATTTTTAGCATTCTGGAACTTTTTGCACCCTCACAAGAGGCTGAGAAAGTTGCAAGTTCTGCAAGCAGCACGGCGGACATCGCCTTCTAAAGTTTTAGAATATATTTTTATCCACGTGCTGATTTAATTGACCTACTAAAAACTCTGACATTTACCTGCTTCTCTACACACTCTCTATTTAGAGTGTAATCAAGCATATTGATGGCCGAAGTGCGGAACCACATATCCCTGTTTACAACGTCGCAGACTTCCTGACAGATATTCATGGTTTCTTTGAAACGACTAACATATCTGACTTAACTCATCGAAATCTTTCTTGATTTTTCTCCTCCATTAGCATTCTGTAAAAATTTTAAACTATAGAATTGGCTTGTTTCTCCTCAAAAAAATTAAATAGAGACGGACGTTTTGAAACACCGCATTGGAAGTACGTGATATCGCACTTCAGCCATCGATATCCTTAATAAAAGTGAGTCGGACTAAGTTTCATAAACTATCCTGAATCAGTCTAATTCAGGGTAGTTAATGAAACATAGTCTGATGTCAGGCTGACTCACTTTTACTATGGATTGTTGACTTCTCAGGGTTCACGTAGTTTCTACAGCAAAGGATGTTAAAAACAAGTCCATATCATCCGAATATTTCACAGTATCCGAACTGGAAAATCTAGGACACAGATTGCATCATTAAGTCGAGGGTTAAAGTCGCAGTTTTCCATTCGACGCTAGTCTCACTTTCGTCGACCCTCCGCTGAGGACCGGCAGCGCGAGTGAAGGCTATTACAATAATGATGAGATACACTTACGATCGTCGTCTGTATCGTGGTCGAAAATATATGTTTACGAGTTCCTCCCGCCTCGTACGAAACGCCTGGCGACATTAGTCCAGATGGATAGAGCCCATGACGAGACGTCATTATGTTGGAAATGCTAAGATTTTCCATGTTGCCGAACTTGGAACAGAGTGAGGGTGTTCTCAGATTTCAGAGTTCTCTGACTTTCCTCCAGAGATGATCAACCGGACTAAATTTTGCAATTAGGAGCGAACATTTCTAGATCACACCTAAAAACACTTATCTACATAGAGAAGTTAATGACACATAACTTGTTTCTAAACTGAGCTAGAGATTGTAGTTCCGGATTGCAAAATGTAGTCTAATTTAACAGACCCGGCAGTGATGTCTTCCCCAGTGTAAAAGTTACTGTGGGGGATGATCGTTCAGATTCACCTGATAATATGACTAAATTACTTTAAGGTTGAGTGAATGGTTCAGAAATCCTACCCCAATTTGCAAAAACTCGTAAAGTAAAGGGCTCACCTCGAGATTCATCAGACATCGTTATGCGAATTTTATTTGATATTTTCCACAAGTTGCTCATCGGTAATATTGGGGGAAAAGTAGCGTTGACTTTCGGATTTAAGTTTATTCCCTCAGTGTTTCTGCGAGAGTTTCTATGATCGTTTCTGCTTCTCCCTGACTTTTCAGAGATTTTGAACTTTAAAAAAAAAAAAAAAAAAAAAAAAAAAAAAAAAAAAAATAAATCATTCATAAGTGAAGGAAAGGGGCTCCCCTGAACTGAGTATTTCTTCTCATTCCTATACTGTGAACACTTTCAAACCAATTCCAATAAACGCCAAAGCGCAGGCTTTAGAAGCGAAGAGCTGGCAGGTTCCTTCCAGGTATCCTTCAGAACTATTCTTAAAGTATTTTTATGAATGAATAGTCCTATCTTCCCCACCTCGAATGAGTTTTTAAAGGTCGAGAAAGAAAAAAAAAGATAGACAAAAAAAGCCAACTCCTGGTGAGAAATTTGGAAATCCCCTCTGACAAACTGTGGCGAACGCGATATAGGTCATTTTAAGTTAAATCTACGGTCTCGAGCTTGCGCCAAAAATCAAGATATTACAGACAACGTTCACGCACAAAATCAAGAAATTACCGACATTGTTTATGCCCAAAATTTTACAAAATTTCCATTTTAGGGGTGACTTAAACCTCGGGGGTGAGATAAAAATCTTATATTTATATACACCTTATAAGAATAGATTTTTTTTTAAAAAAAAAAAAAAGAAAAAAAAAGAAACCAACATAAAAATCTCAAGTTGCTGAATCAAAAAATGAAGGGTGTTCGATTTTGGACTGGTGCACCTTGACTTTAATCAAGTATTTTTGTCACATCTTAGTTCTGCAGGAACGTAAACTTGGCAACGAGGGATCTCGGTCAAATTCTAGACTGGAAGGGCGCGGGAGGGCGCAAATACTTCCGGGGCGGGCCTCTTTGATCACCCTTTTATAGGCTCGGGGGCCCGGGAATAATAAGGTTTCGGGAAATTCGGGAGCGGCGACGCGAGGCGGGGACATAAAACATGTGCCAGGAGGAGGAATCGATGGCGTCTCGGGTGGCCGCCTTTTTATGGAACATGTGGTTTGTTCTCGACCTTGTTTTTATGACCTTCTTTTCCACTTTGATAATTTACCAGCATCCGATTCGGGAGCTAATTAGCGCTCGTTTTGACTTCGAAATAACGACGTAATTGGCGGTGACATGAGATCACGAGACAGTGGAGAAACGTCGAGAGAAAGTTCTTCGGTGCCCGTTGGAATTAGGATCACCACCCCGAAACTGCCGCGCGAAGTAAAAACGCCGTATGAGTACCCGAGAGTTGCCAAATTTACTCTGATCAAATTATGATTTCTGAGGAGTGTTACGAATATTTTCTTTCGAAACTTTCTGGTAATTTGGGTCCCATTACGTGTGAAATTCTCTAGAAAATTCGAAGAAAAATGTTCACTAATTGCCCTGAAAATGTATACTTTATTGTTGAAAATTTGGCAAGTCTGAAGGCTCATACGGCGTTCATCCTTGACACGGCAGAAAAAGACTCCTTCTCGTGGCGTGGGCGGCTCAGTGGCTATCCTTTAGGGACAAGACTGGACCGNGGGGGGGGGGGGGGGGGGAGGCTGAAAGGATGGAATTCCTCCAGGAGGGCAGAATCCGGGGGCCCTCTTGACTAATTTTTTGACTAATTAGCCGTTAACTTCGTCAAAAAATAGAAAATACCAGGGCACTAGAAACCTGGAATATTGAAAAATGTCAGGGAATATTTTTGACACCAGAAAGATCCTTGAAAAAAGTTGTAGATCTGACCATAGCTCACTGTCAGTTTGCCTTCAATTTCCAGTGTAGGCAACCCAAGCTCCCAAGGGGCAGAATAATGGCAACACCCTCAAATTTCGCGATTGCTCGAGGAAAAAAGCAGGAAAAATCACCAAACGTTCAACCAGGGCGTTTGACGTGGAGTAATGATTTAGCCTCTTATATTTTATTTTTGGCAAGATATTTTGTTGCTTATCACTTTGAAAGCGCTCTGTGGAAAAATTGCTGTATTTGTGTATCGCAGTAGGTTTTTGTAAGATTAAAAAACAATCGATGCATAGATAAATAAATAAGCACAGATAATGAATTTAAACACATAATTAAAATTGATTAACGTAAAAGCGCCTAGTTTTTTCTTGGTGAACAGGGCCAAGCCCCTAATTTATCAGTGATTGGACCTGGTTCCTACATGCAAGTAGTAATTTTCACTTAGAATAATTTTCACAGAGGTTCCAATGCTTCACTCTATTCTCCTTTATTTTTTCACATTTCTACCTTGATTATCTGGGCCCGGGGGCTACCGCGTCACCCGGGCCAGTGCAGCCCTGCTGGTCATTACTCCTGTTAAGTTAGACATATTTATACCATTCAGCAATATACTTTGAATGAGTGATTAGACCAAGTAGATGCAGGTATCAAAAAACGGTTTACTTCATAACGAGATGCCTTCTAGTCCTAGAGCCACTATCACTACCTAGAAGTACAAAGAGGCAAACAACATGCGGGCAAACTATGAGCATTTAGGTAGATAGCGGATTTATTATCATCTGGGCTGAGTTGGAAATAAAAGTAATTACAATAGAACAATGTAAATATGTTGACTTACAAAGTTGGAGAGCATTGATTTATTAAAAGTTGATACCTGCCTGCATCTATTTGATCTAATCACTCATCCAAATCATAAGGCAATACACGCAGTAAGTAAGGTGAATCAATTACTAACCTAGCAATGGTAAATGCTTAGCTCAACGTTTCATCCAATGATTCGTGTGCACTCGATGACACAATTCTGAACATACGAAGTAAGTCCCACGAAATAACCGAGAAAAACACTCACAATGCCATGTGAAATCGGAGTTAAACACAGTGGCTAACACGACGAGGAGACGAACGTTTCGAAGCGATCCAAGATTTGGACGGCACACCTCGCGCAGTGGAAAACAAAGGACTACGGAAATAGGAAAAGTTAATTTGACGAAAGTTTAAACCACCACAATATTAATTTCACAATAGTTTACCTGAAGCTTCCTTGAAATGTCTGTGTTGATATGAAAGGACTAGGCGGTTTGTTTACATTCCTGCTGATATGATGATTGCCCTCTGGTGGCAGAAGCGCGCAGCGACAAAAGGTCTGAGGTCTGCAAAACTATCCGCTGATAAGACGCTGCACTCAACGTTGTCGTGTTGGGCAGCAAAATATCGTCGGCTAAGTATACTGCCATGCGAGGAAAAACGCCGTAAGAGTCTTCAGACGTTGCCACATTTCATTCAACAATAACGGAATTTACTGGGAAAGTTCTGAATATTTTCCTTTCAATCTTTTAGACAATTTTATTCTCGACTTCATTTAAAATACCTGAGAATTTCAAGAAAAAAATATGCATTATTTTGCTCAAAAGACATTTTTTCAGGAAAAATTTTGCAACTTATGAATGCTCAAACGGAGTATTTCCTTAGCACGGCAGTATATTGTCGGTATATATAAAGTGTATCCTCAGCGCACCTCTCCCGTCAAAATTGGAGTACCTGTATAGCGAGAGTATGGACCGATCGCTTCATGGAGGGCTTAGGGCCCAAAAGTGCAGCCACCCTTCTAACCAACTTCTAACGCACAAAATTTCACTGCCAGTCTGCAGGTTCCAATTCTAACCAAGATGGCCAAGCGTTCTTCCGCAAAATTGAGTAAATTTATGCAAAAACTGAGTCAAACACGTGCTTAATAAACGACGGTTCGTAACAATAGTATTAGTAAATCGTTCTGGATAATTGAAATTCATACGTTGGCTGCATTTCTGGGCCCTAACTTTATTCGCAGAAGCATCGGTGAAGGCCTGATGGATTTTCGGAGTGTCACATCTGTCCATACTCTCGCTGTACAGGTACTCTAGTCAAAATATGCCAAAGTGTTGTGCGCTAAAAATTTAATTTTTATCGTAACCCCAGTGAGACACAAGTAACGCAGGTCTATAACCCCCCCTCCCCCCCATAACCGATTAAATGTTACTACGTTGCCAATGATTTTGACCTCTCGAACCACTTCAAATATTTTCTTGCTGGAGGGTTTGATTATTGCTCCTTCCTTTTTTCAGAGCAGACTGTTCGACGAGAGGGCTCGGGATTTCCGCGTAGAATCTGACTATGCATGATGGGGTTAAGGTTGAGGTTGAGTCACTCAGCGATGAGCAACCCTTTGCAAAGCGCCTGAAACAATAGAGAGCGCTTACTAATTTCATGCACGCGCACCCTGTCCGAAGTTGCGTGAAGTATTCGCGAATTTCGGCCTCGGTTTTAGGCTCCAGCTACGATCGGTAGAGCGGAATTGGGATTTCCTGTTACGTCGTCGTCGCGTGCCCCATACTGTGTTTTGGGGCTCAGTGACGTGGCGTGCTCTGCGATATATCGATTGATTTGCCATTTAAACCTATGGTAAAAGATCGATAAACAGGGTATTCTCAACGAACATTTAAAAATCGATTCTTTAGCATGGTTCCAAATGGGGAAATATCGATAATTGATCATCGACGCCACTGGTTGGGCTCCAAATTCCAGATCCGCTGAGGACCGGAAGGAAGTTCCGTCCCAGAGCCGGGAAGGTCTCCACCACGCCGCACGGAACTCAACCCTTCCGACCACCCCCACCCCAAAAACGGATCCCGCTCTCTCAAACGGGACGCCCCTGCTAGGCTTATCGCCATCCCTGATGATCGTGGGATGGAACAGGATAACATTGTATTTTCGCTGGATCGATGGATCTTACACTAACTAACAAGGACAAGTATCCTATAGGGCCATCGGCAGCCCGATGGAAAAGAATTCTTCTTTGCCCCTTCAGAAAATTTGATGGGATAGTATGGAACCTGTAAAAGCTCATATCTTTGTTAATACAAACCGAAGAAATTTAGAAGTGGCTCAGCTGCCTCCCTGGTTAAATTTTCTCTAGGAATGGGGAATTCGCACACTAATTTTTTATTACTTCATCTAAGAGTGCTTGAAGAGGTGATTCCGCAGCATTTTTTATAAGTTTTTTTCTAATATGGGAAATTCTAGAAAAATAGATATGAAAGTGAGAATTTGCACCGCCTAGTGATGTCATCTGCGGGCTGATTATTGAAATTTAAACCAGCCCGATAAGACATCGAATTGCGATATATTGCACGGTTAAGATAGGGCTATGTCTTGTCGTAAGCGGCGACATAGAGTCGATGTCATTTCAATAATCGCCCCGCTGGCGGCATTTCCAATTTAAACACATGAATTGTGGCAGATTAGACCATTTTGTCTTATCTCCTTCATGGATAATTGTTCAATTTAGGAACCATGGATATCCTCGTGTTTAGTTCAATCAGCATTTTCCACTCAAATACGAAGTTCAGCTTTTAGACACCTGTAAATGATCCTTGATTGCTTATAAAAAATTTGAATTTTAATCATATGAACATCAAAATTCGCAATTTCATTAAAAAATCTCTCGTCCGATATCCACAGCCAGTGTCTCGGTCCATTGTACGTCGCCCCCGTAACTTGGCAATTTAAATCGACAACGAGGCGGCTTAAACCGGAAACAGGCGAAGTCTTCGAATCAGGCACCTGGTTCTGCGAGGGAAGTGCAGAAATGTGGGTCAAAAAATGGCCTATTAGCGAGCCAGCTTCCGGTGGAGTTGAATTCGAACCACCGATCTTGCCTTGTTGCGCTTCTCGACCATAATTACATGCTGAACATGCGTAGCATCGTAGGAAGCATGGTATTTTCGCGGGGTTGGCATCCCTGCCGAGCCATCGTATCAATTTCGCAAAAAAAAGGGGGAGTTCACGATGATGATGGCGCTCCAGCTGACTCCTCTTGACAACCGATTTGCATTCATAGTTGCCCTGCCGACAAAAGAGCGTAACTATTTTTCCAGATGATCCCTGCCTTCCGTATGATCACACGCTTCCTACGGCTCACGCGAAAATCGAGTTGACTCATTTCGATGGCGGAGCGACGTTATTTGGGTTAGCGAATCGACTTCCTCACCCGATTGTGTCTCACTCTATCAAATGGCGGCGGTACTACTGTGTATAATCCTTCATTTCCTTCCTTCAACTCAGCTCCGACCTTTTGTGCATCGTTACAAATGAGAGAAGGAACCGCGTGGCTGCTTATTACTCTGTCGTAGCACCATATTTGGACAAACGGACAAAAACTGGTGACTGATTTATGAGAGTCGAGTTTTCATTATATCGATTTTTTTTTCTATCTCGAACATTCTACGGTGCCAATATGCTGTCAACTTAAAATAAAGCAGGATACATCAAATTCTTACGTTGCAAAAACACCGACCAATTTTAATTTTTACTGAAGAATCTGTAATATGAAACGAGGAGGCATTTTTTTTTTTTTTTTTTTTTTTTTTTTTTTGTTTTTGTTTTTTTTTTTTTTTTTTTTTTGTCTGTTTGTTTGTTTGTTTGTTTGTTTGTTTGTTTGTTTGAAGAGGCACGGAAAAAATACAGGTAGTAGAGGGTACCAAACTATCTAAATGGATGCTTGGCTGCGCTAAGAAGACGTCTAACAGTTCTACTAACTACAAGACGTCTGGTCAACATTGTCATCTATGACACTGGCCATAGATTTTCGAGGGGGCTCATTGACGGATAAAGTTGAAAAATTCCTATCTCTCACTGCAACGGTTTTTGTGAATTTTTCCTTGCATTCAAACGTATTCAAGGATTATTTCCAGGAGATATTTTGGTAAGTTTCCTTTTGAAACATTGAACATTGGAGAAATGCATTAGAAGACTTTTTTTATTCTTGAGTGCTCTTCAATTCAGTATTGTATAAATTTAAAAACCGAATACAGAGATGTTTTTTGCAACTTGACAACACTGGGCTCAGCTCATTTAAATTTACGCCAAGCAATCGATTTATCGCGGTGAGCTGCTTCAGCGCGCGTGGAATCGATCATTTAGAATGGAATTAAATGGAGTAAAAACAGCCCTGCTAACTTGCGAGAGTCGCCACTGGGCGAATTATAATCTGGGCATGTTGTATGGGACTCACACTCTTTTGCAGCTTTTTTAACTCTTCCCTTCATTCCGTGCGCTTATCTTTTCTCACTTCGTTTGTAAACAGGAGGGACGATCCGCCCTCCCCTTTTTAATCCGCCATTCCGTGCATATACGTAGAAGAAAATACGGACAATGCTTGCGATATGACCATAATTTTCATGTGCTGAAACTCATGGCATCACATCAGGCCCGAAGTGAAGTAATGCAAACATCGCATTCTTTTAAGCATTCTATTTTGCAAAATGAGATCACTTTCGGAAAAAGTGCAAAAACGAGCCACCATAGACTCAGGTCTTGATCGGAGCATTATAGGAGTTCACGCCTCTCGCCATCGCGCCTTCAGTTTTGCAGATGCAACACGGATATCCACCAAGTACGAATAGTTGTATCTCTGCGCCGTCATCGATGCGCGTCGTTTCCCTTGCTCTATTTGCCTGTTGCGTTGGGTCTGTTTGTCTAATTTTTATAGTGACGCTTCAAGGGTCACGTGAAGGAAAGACATGACCGGGCCTTGTTTTTTAACTTCACTACCGAATCTGAATGGCACCTCACTGACAGCATACAGCGCAGCATTGCAACTTCACTCCTCACACCAACGCGGCTTCAATTTCTCTGATGCAACGTACGTATCCATCAAGTACAAATAGTCTTTGATTTTCCAACTGTAAGATAAGCTCAGATATTCTCCCATTCGACGCCACGATTGATAATCGGTTATTAAGGCGCTCATTCCGAACACCCCGATAATCGATCCTTTTCCATACGTTTAAAGAGGCACCAATCGATTGCATTGCGAGTTCACGCCTCACGCCATCGCGCCTTCAATTTTGCAGATGCAACACGGATATCCATCAAGTACGAATAGTTGTATCTCTGCGCCGTCATCGATGCACGTCATTTCCCTTGCTCTATTTACATGTTGCGTTGGGTCTGCTTGTCTCATTTTTATAGCGCAATCAATCGATTTATCGTACAGCCACGGCACGCTGATATTGAGAACATTTACTATCAACTTACTATTCTGCCG